GGAAAGGGGGGGGCCTTGCGCCCCCCGCCTCCGCCTCCGCCTCCACCTCCTTGCTTCGGACGCTGAGCGCTGCCAGCAGCCTTTCCGGTGGCGCTGCGAGGCGCCCTGGCGGGACCGGGCTGGAGCGGTAGGCGCGCGGCTCCGTGTGCAGGGAGGTGGCGACGTGGAGGGAGGGCCGGTTCCTCAGGGCGCTGCTACCTTCCGCTGGGGCCGCTGTGAAGGAGTCGGGTCCTGAGGCTGGCTTCCTCAGGGAGCCATGGCCCAGCCTCGCCCCAGAGCATGTCTAACTCTGCTGTACGGTTGGCCCAGTAAAAGACCTCACAGGAAAGCTTGTCTAACTACTAGACAATTGGTCTAGTAAAAAAAGTCTCACCTGAAAGCTTGTTTAAATGTACTATGCCACAGGTGGGCAAGATGCAGCCCACCAGGCCATTCTATCTGGCCCACGGGGCCCCTTTAAAATTTTGAAAATTAACATTTATCTACCCCGGGCTGCCTGTCATGTGCCCCTCGATGGCTTGCTAGAACTGAGGAAGCGGCCCTCCGCCCAAAATAATTGCCCACCCCTGCACTACACAGTTGGCCCAGTAAAAGATCTCTTCGGAAAGCTTGTTGAACTGCTTGCTGCACTGTCAGCCTGGTGAAAGATCTCACCTGAAAGCTCGTCTAAATCTACTACACAGTTGGCCCAGTAAATGATCTCACTCCGAAAGCTTGTCCAGCTCTACACAGTTGGCCCAATAAAAGATTTCACCCAAAAGCTTGTCTACTACGTAGTTGGCCCAGTGAAAGGTCTCACCTGAAAGCTTGTCTAATTCTACTATACAGTTGACCCAGTAAAGGTATAGCACCCTGAGAAATCCTTGCCCCTCCCAGCTACAACATCACTTCTACACCCCCAAACACCATGAGCACAGTGAGAGGCAGATCCAGGGGCGGTACACAGGTGCACTTGCACCCGCTCCACCTTTGATTCCTGCTCCACACAAAGTTTAAAACCAGCTTCCTGGCAGTGGCAGCAGCATTTCTAGTCAGGAACTGAGGAGAGAGTCGATTGATTCATGGCTCTTGATAATGTACCCGATTCCTCCTAAACTCTTAATTCCATGTGTGTTAATTCCCTCTTTCCTGGTCTGATGTTCCACCAATGGAGCTAGCCTTTGTTCTACCATTCTGCACTCTGTTAGCTGCTCCTAGTAAGGAAACTCCTATTTCACAGCCCTGCAGATTGTCTTTAGCTTATTCCAATGAAGTTATATTGTTTTTTGCTTCAGTCTCAAACTGAATCATACAGCTCTGCCCCTCAGATATTAGTAAAGTTCTACTTTATTTTTAACTGGAGAAAAATATGGGTTGTTTTATGTGTGATGATGAACGATGCACCTCACTGTCTATGCCCTCACTTTTCAAAATTCTCGACTGACAATAAGCATAGTGATACCTGCCTGATTTGTTTTAAAGTAAACAGCCTCACTGTCTGAATTCAAGAGAATGGAATCAGGCTGTCATCCGTTTAAGCCAGAGGTGTCAAACACATGGCCCATGGGCTGGATCTGGCCAGTAGAGCTGGGTCAACCTGCCAGCATGCTTTTGCCCTGACTCTGGCTATGAGGAGGCAGGGATCTTAGCAGGATAGCTAAGCACCCAGGATGCAGAGCCTCTTCCAGCTGGGTCCCAGGCTGGTCAGAGCAGGAGCTACATATGCTGGATCCGGCATGGGATGGGTAGGGATGTGGAATCAATCTGGTCCATGGGACCGGCCCAGTGCCATTCAACCAGCCCTGCATCGCTTAGCCATCCCATGGGGCCAGATGATTTTGACACCCCTGATTTAAGCAATTAGGAAAAGAATTACTGCCAGTTCTCCAACATACAAAAACATTTCAAATATTTATGTTAAATCCAAGCCTTGGCACTTTTAGTACATTCCATTTGTTCAATACTGACAAGATAACAAAGACACTCAGTTTTGTTAGTAGGGATGGGTATGCCTTTGTCAGCTGCTAACAAATTAGAAGGCAGGGAGTAACACCGGCAGTCACATCAATAAACTAGTGCAAAGGTTAGCCATGGCCTTCTTCCACACAAGGGAGTTTAACTGAAATTGCTACTAAAACCAGTCTTAACCTGGCACAACTTCCTATGAGCATTCTTGTTGTTATTATTGTTCTTGGTTTATTTCGGTTTAGTTTCAATCTGTTCCTACTCTGTGGCCTGACCAAACAACACAGAACAGCCCATCAGCCCTTTTTTTAATAGTTTGAATAAATCAGCTTAAATTGAACTCTTTCAATGCACAACTTTTTAATGAGACTTAAGTCTCACTAAGAAAAAAGAACCATATTCATGCCTAATGTAACTCAACAGAATTTCTTCCATTATGCTAAGTCAATGGATTGAAACTCTAATTAATGCATCTCAACTTCCACATGTGGCATTGTTTCCCAGATAGAATTTAAAGTTAGGTCACAAGCACCTTTTCTGGGTAACTGTTAACAGACTTTTCACACAGGATACATTTTCCAAAATATTTTGAGGCCATTTCTACTGCAATTAAGGAAGTAGCCAAGATAAATAGATTATTCAGTGTTTATTGTCAACTGATGTATGAAGGTTCACTTTCTTACTAGCAAGCAAAAAACCACAGCTCTAAAGTAGTATTTTGATGTTTTTGTTTGCTTAACAACTACATGCTTTATTATTTATTTATTGCTGACCTTTCTTCCATTGTAACCAGAAGAGTAACAAAAGTGGTGACTAGATTGTTCAGAGGGCCCAGATCCCTCTCCGGTGTTTGTAGTCATTATAGAAATTCAGATAACAAATACTGTACATAATAGGCAGCACTAATCTCACTGGTACCTCTTGAAACATTACAATTTCTTACAGGGCTGCACACTAACATTTCTCTTCTAGAAACTGTTAAGAAAGGTAAAGAAGTTGAAACCATCAGTGATCACAACCTTCTGTTTTGGCTAAACATGGTAGGGAGTAGGCCCATTTTCCCTCAAACCTACAAAAGATAGACTTGGGTCTTTGGAATTCAAGGTGGTTATTTCAGTCATTGCCTTTGTGTAATAATATAAATCTCCCCGTTGAAGTTGTCTATATCTGTGTCTCACTTTGCTTTAGAAAAGATCAGATATGAGGATCCAGGTATTCTACCAGTGGATATTTAGTTTTCCTGATGTGTTGTCACTTCAAGCAATATTTAGCTCTAACCATCTCAAGAGTTGGACTGAAGAAGAAACCTCATCTATACAAGATTCACCTTTTTGAGGCTTTCTGGTACAAAATTGAAGATACTATCCAATAACATGTGTGAGCATCTGCGTTATATATTTTTGTGAAGCTTCTCAAGCCAATTACTTCAGTTTCCATAGTGAGCAGTTTCGGCTGTCTTATATCTTTGATCCCTGCATAGCTTGACACGCATCCTGTTTTAAGAGTTGTCATTAACTCTGTTGTCTTCTTTGTACTATACAGTGCCTGGTACTGAGATATCCACTAATTAGCCTTATTTTTTAACCTTATTCCCTAGGTTCATTGACATGGTTAAAACAGAAAACAGCCAAAGAAAATATTTTGAACTCTTTTCTTTTCCTTTTTTTCATGCACAATGATCTGTGTCAGTCAGACAAGCTTTAATTTACCATTTACCTGAGAAAACTCCGAGCCTTGCAGTAAAATCTAATTTTCCGAGGGTAGGAAGGGTTACTGTTATTATTAAAGGCACTGAAACAAACAAACAATGTCCATTATATGTTGTTTTATTCAGTAGAATAAATTCAGTGAAATACAACAGAATTTTTTCTACCAGCATTAGAAAACAGAAGTAGTAATGCTGTTATAATATAAACTATAAAAGGACAATGGAGAACACAGCTGACATAGTCCTACAGATCCTGTTGGACTAAATTAAGGATCTTGAATCAACAATACTACTTGGGATTCCTAAAGGTGATGTGGGGATCTATGCATATCTCAGGTCCCCAGAAACCTCACCCCTTCTCTATGACCCTACACCTACTATAAAGTGGAAAAAGAAGGAGATCATCCTCTCTCCAAGGAGAAACAGCAACAGGAGATTCTGTACATCCTGGAATAGAAGCAGAGCCTCTCACCCATTTGAGAAACACCCTTTGGAGACGAGTAGCAGCAGATGGAGTCCCCAGTACCTATTCCAGAGTCAGAGTGGGCCTGCTTGATAGCTTTGGGTCTGCTGTACTGTGTTTCCTGCCACTGAATCCTCTGCTAAGTAGTGCTGGTAAGCAAAGAAGTGTCCAGAGCTGCAAGTCTTTGGACATGGGGCTAGTTAGCATCTCTCAAACCTATTGTCCCAAGCTGGTTCAAGTAGACATACTTTTTACATTGATTTTACTTTTGTGACATTTTCTCTGATTCTATGAGGCTAGAAACTTGCTTTTATACAATAAAAAAGAAAGGTGAGGATTAAATCAAAAGCATGTAAGTCCTAGCATAGGACTTCCATACTTCTGTATGGGACACAAAACTGGAGCTTGCCTATGCCTTAACCCAGCCATGCCCACACAGGAAAAAAATTCCCAGCAGCATGAAAAAAAGCAGAAGATCCACCCTATAAACTGGAGGAGAGACTTAGCTTAGATGTCTGTGAGCAAAGACTTGCAGAATTAGGCTTTTGATGAGAAACTTACGCGATAATACACAAAATGCTAGGCTTTTGGAAATGTCATGGTTTTTTATATAAGAATTGACATTTAGAGACAAAAGTCAAAACTAATGTTCCATTCAAGTCTTACATCCAAGTATTCCATCTATCCAACTAACGTAACAGAATTAATCAATAAGTGGCAAATCTATTAATATATTTTAATGACAGCAGCGAATGTCTCTTGCCCTCCATCCCCCATTTATTCTTACACAAGAAAAAGGAAATGAAAGGAGTCCTTGCTGTTTTAAGATTAGTTAATGTTTGGAAAGTACTTAAAAGATATTTATCAGGAAAGGACAAAGATTCCTTACCCTGGGACTGTGGAGGTTTCCCCATGCTAAGGTGAGGAAAAAGAATTAGTGAAGTTATTCAGAAGTATACAGCACCTTTGCTGGGCAGAGAGAGAGCACAGCAGAAGAGGGAGTGCAACCAGATGCCCTCCAGCTCTGTAGGACTTCCAGTCCATTGCAGTACCCCTTAGAAGCAGGAGCAGAGAGAGCTACCAGTATTTGAAGGAAGATCCATCTTCCCCTGAATAGTTCCTCAGCCACTCAGTAACTCCAGGGGAGAATCCTGTCCTTTGTGCATTTCTCTAATCACTACTCAAGCTGGGTACTACATGAGGTTTTTTTCTCAAGAGCTAAAGTATTATTAGTAGGCCAGTTCCATACACAGTATATCATGAGTAGGGATCCAGGTTTTCCTTTTCCCACAGAAAAATGGAGAAAAACATGGATTTCCTCCCCTTTACCGGAGAAAAATGTGCATTTCTCTTTTAACAGAGAAACCCATGGATTTTGCAGTTTTGCAAAGAGCTCTCAGCAGGCTGGCAGATTTCCAGCCTGAAAGGGGCTGGGATGGAGTGGGAGAAGAGCAGTTGGGCAGGGAGTACATGGCTGCCAGGCAGCCTGTAGAGCAGTTCCCATAGGTAACTGGGGGATGAGACTAAGGCCTCCATAGGAAGGGAGGGAGGGAGTTGGGCAGGGCTGGGGATGCTTCCCAGCCAGGCAGTATGTGAGGCTTGGGGCCTGGGACTGCAATACAGGGGAGCAGGACAGGGCCATGGGCCCCTCACCTGGGGGGGCGGCGGGGGGTTGGGCCAGGTCCCTGCTGCTGCATGCACTCCTGGGAGAGGGGGTAGGGGGCCCATTTCCTCCAGACCAGTGCGCAGGTTGGAGGCAGGAGTGGGCTGCCCACTGCAGGCTCAGGCTCCTGCCCTGCTGCCCTCCCCTGGGGCCTCCGCAGCCCAGCGGGTACAATCTGGCACTGCAGGGACAGCAGGGCTGCACGGGGATCTCCTTGCTGCTGTAAGCTCCACACTGCTCTGGCATGGCGTCCCCTGCCTGTGCGGCAGCAGTGATGAACACAGCCTTGCACCACTGCCCTAGCTGGTGCTGCATGCGCAGGGGACACATCTCCAGGGCAGCATAGAGCTCACAGAGGCAGGGAGATCCCTGCACCACCCCACTGTGCCCTGCCACATGAGGTTACACCCACTGGGCTGCTGAGGCTCTGGGGGAGGGCAGCAGGGCAGGAGCCTATGCCCACCCCTGCCCCATGCACAGATCTGGTAGGCATGGGTCCTTGCTGCCCCCCTGGGAGTGCATGCAGTGGCAGGGAGCTGCCCTCGGTGCCCAACCCTGCAGCAGCCAGGCAGCAGATGGGGAGCTGGGTTCTGCTTCACTGCAGCAGCCACCACCTCCTACTGGGGCAGGGGGCTGCCGACCAGGGTTCCTGGCCCCATAGCCCTGGCAGCTGGGGGCTCCCTTCAGCAGGGCTGGGTGGGGAGGGGGCTGTGGATGGGGGGCAAGGGGCATGAGCAGGGCTGGGTGGGCTGTGGGAGAAAATGAGGGGCACAAGCAGAGCCAGGAGGTTGTGGGTGGGAGTGAGGAGTACAAGCAGAGCCAGGGGTCTGTGCAGGGTGGAGTGAGGGGCATCAGCAGGCCCATGGGGTTATTCGGGGAGTGAGGGGCCTTTCATTTTAAACACAGATTTTGGGGATTTTATCAGAAATTTTTCAGTTTTTTTTTATCAGAGAATTCTTTATTTTTTACCAGAGACAACCTGGATCCCTGATCATGAGTAAGAATTGAATAATAATTATTGTTTTCAGTTAATTATTAGAAAATGTACTCTGTATAAGAGTAGGCAATTTCCCCCTTTTTGTTCAGGGACTGGGGGGGGGGGGGGGG